AAAAAAAAAAAAAAAAAAGATAAATAATAAATAGAAAAACACAGTAGTTCTCTTAAGGAAGGTAAGAAATTAATGAGATAATTATGGGTAGATTCTCCCTTGGGAGTAGGAGAGTCTTTGAGCTGTAGCTGAACTCCTTCAGGTGAAGAGAATCAGCGATTAGACTGGTGTCAGGCACCGAGAAGTGACCGCAAGGATGACAGGGACAGTCGCCCCTCCCCAAAGACCAGGGTGGTCAAGCACCCTGCAGACTCTGTCGCTATCTCTCAGGGCTCTGAGCTTCAGACAGAGAGGCCTTATGCTATGCAAACCTTTACACATGGATGTGGACAGAGACATCCTTTCCCCAGTGAAGGAACACACTGCAAGCCACCGGCCTGTCCCTTTCCCAGAGTGACCCCGGGGCTCTCCTCTCTGCTTGCTTTGAGACAGGTTGATTGACTTATGTGCAGTGTGGGGTCCCGGAGTCCCCCTGCCATCTACCACCTCTGGTGCCGTGAGGACAAGGACAGGGACGAGGCTGAATGAGGCGGAAGAGGTAAGCATGGCATGGACGTTTTGCCTCCTGACCCGGGCATCTTCCCAGGGGTGGTTGCTTCCTTCTCCCCAGAGATGAAAGCCCAGAGTCCCCACAGAGCCACACCCAGGGCCCTCCCTACACAGAGGTGGCACGAGGGGCAGGGACACGATGGGTGCAGTCAGCAGTCAGTCCCTGCTGTCTGCTGAACTGGAGAATGTGGAACTAGCTCTGCTTGTGGCCTGAATTCCCCCTTACCCTGGGGCCCCACAACCTGGGCGGCTCCTGAGTGATAGCCCTGGCATAGGTGGGGCAGCCAAGAATCCCTGCTCTGGTCCGGGCCAGGGCCCTGCAGATGGACAGCCGCACCCATGCAGGAAGCAGCGAGGCCAACAGCACCGAAGCCACACCCTGTGTTCGGGTCTGCATGTTCCATTCCGGCTAGAGGTCCCCGCTGCTCTGTCCGCTCCTGCTTCCCTGGCAGCGTGGCAAAACTTGGATCTGAGTGGCAGAGGAGAAATCGGCTGCCCGGAGGCTGCGGAGTGGGGCTGTCTGACCCATGGCCTGGCCTCCTTTCCTCTGGGTTTGACCACTTCTGCCTCTGTGCAGCACCTCCTTGGCCCTAGGTTCCTCCCAAGGTGTCTTGCATCCCCTCAGAAGGAATTGGGGGGAGACAAGGAGAGGGTAGAGAAGAGGAGACAGCTGATGACGTGGGTTTGGGATCTGAACAGACCTGATGCTACTCCAGCCCCATTAGCCATGTGATCTCTGGAAAGTTTTTAGCTACTCTGAGCCTTGGTTTCCCAGTGTTTACCTTGGGGATAGCATGGACACCTTACTGTGGAGACGAGAGTAACGATGCACAGTGCCTGGCGGGTAGCGAGTGTGCAGCGGATATGAAGGTCAGTGTTCGTATTGGTGGCAGCAGGGTTCACCGGTGTCCAAGTCGTCTGTGTGGCGCCACCTGGGAGGTGCATCGGACTGCAGGGCACTGGAGCATGTGGTAGTGGGGTGGGTGCCACGACAGGCTTTCTTCACGTGCAGGACTCTGATCGTGAAGCTGCTGCAGCCGTCTGTCTAAATAGGCACGTAGTACGTGTAACCCTGCACGCGGACAGGTGCCAGATTTGCCGCAGAATCAGGGACTACTCCCCCCGGTGTCACTGTGCCTCCTCCCCACCCTCTATCCCACCCGCAAAACCTCCTCCAGGCCCTAGGGAACCTGGGGCCTCCCATTTCTGATGACGGCAACCACCCCGTGTGGCAGCAGATCTAGAAGTCCTCAGGGAGCCACCTGCCGCAGCGTGGCTGACCAGAGCGACCCAGGCCGGCTCGTGCCTCCACACACTTCTGGGCTGACCGGCAATCCTGTGTACAGTGTATCTTTACGTCAGTTGTGTCCTTTGACTCCCTCCAACCATGAGAAACTAGCAGAACCTGTGTGGTCATTTCCGTGTGATGGATGAGTAAGCCGAAGCTCCCAGAGGTTATTTTCGGCCCTGCATGGTGATGCACACCTGTACTCCCAGGTACTTGGGGGAGAGAGACTCACAGCAATGCCCCGCATTAAGGGCAGTTTTCCTTGCCTCGCTCTTACAGATTGCCTACCGTCTAGGGCAGCCTCACATTGCAAATCGGGTACCTGCCGGGGACTTTCAGACACACGGAGGAGCTTAAGGAAAGGACAGAGTGAAGAGGACACATGCACACAGGGACTTGGGCTCTTGTGGTACCTATAATCCTGAGAGAGGAGCCGAGCTGGGTCGCCTTAGCTGGCGACAGTAGCCCCGATGATGATGACCAGCCTCTGAGCACATCTGTCCCTGTGCTCTCATGCAGCTCCTGGTGTCCCTACTCACAGCAGCCCTCCGAGGCAGGACCTGTGTCACCCCCACTTCACTGATGACAGAAGAGATGTACACGAAGATTAACGTGCTTGCCTAGAGTCCCCCATCCACCCGTTCTGAGAAAATGCCAGCATCTCAATTTGAATCCTAGCAGCCCAGCCTGAGAACTGCGCAGTTGGCCTTTGGGTTTGGGGTTGTTTTGGTGGTGGTGTAGTGGGTGGAGTCCCATCAGAGAACCGCAGAATGTTTCTGAGCAAGGCTCCATCGGGTTCCAGGTAGCTCCAGCTGGGAAGCTTGGAAGGAGCCCTCCTGGCTCTAGCTGGTCTCCCTTTGTTCCCAGGCCACGGCCTGCGGCAGCAGCCCCAGGCAATTTCTCCCAGATGCCCTGGCCCTTCTTTGTCTCCTCCCACCCCAGCATGAGGCACTTTCTCCCCCGCTACCCACCCGGGGCTTCAGCTCCTTGTCGGCTCAGGTCACTGGGAGCAGTCCACCAGGCCTTCAATTTCCCAAATGGATCCATTTGGTTAATTGCAGTCCCACTCCTCAGTCCCCTGCCTGTCAGTGAGGGAAGCTGGGCCACTGCTTTCCAGAAACATCACCAGGGCTGCCACAGACACACAGGCTGGGGACCCGCAGCTGTGGTTCACTGGGGACTGTCTTGCTTCCCCACCTGCTGTCCCGAAACCGACTCCAGGCCACTGAGGCAGTGCCTATACCTAGCCACCTTTCCCGTGGGTGCTGAGACCAGTGGGGCCGTGGGTGGCAGCAGAGAAAGCCCCCTCAGGAGCTGGTATCTGCTTCTTTTGTGCTGAAGCCACACCATCATTTTTCGTCTCTCGTGGCCTCTTCTGCTGACCCCATGCCCACCTTTCTCCTGAGGCTGGGCTGCTGTGCTGAGTATAACCATGCCACACTCTGATTTCCTGTTTCTAGTAAGAGGACCAGAGATTATAGCAAAGGAAGTCCCCAGGCCTCCCGAACAGCCCTGCAGCCAGGGCTGTGTCCGACATCAGCACACGGAGCTGCCAACATTTTGCAACCAGGCTCATAGACCATCTTGGAACTCAGGAAAAACCTGCCCCGTCTGCCCCACACGCACCTGCTCCCCAGCCTCCTGTGTCTCCTCCTCAGTCCCGCAGCCTGGGGAAGCCTGCTGGATAGCAGTTGAATACAGACTGCTGTCTGTATGGGATGTAAATGTAGAAGGCAGGGGAGGGAGGGAAGGAACAGATGCCGAGTCCTCCTGCTGGCTCCGTCCTTTCCTCCCCTGCCACCACTGACAGGAGTTTTAGAAATGCACCTGGGGTGCTGCCCAAGCCCAGCCCGTCCCTCCGGAAGCATGTGGTTACGGACGGAAGGCCACCTCTCTTCTCCACCCATGAACCTGGAGTCTTGCACACCCCCCGCCAAAGTAGAGCTCAGCCTATGGTTTTTGATTAGCTACAGAACTGTGGTGTGTTTGATTGGGCTCAAAATCCCCTTGAGGCAGGGCTAAGTGGCTTCACAGCAGGGATGGCAGTGGCCTGGACTCCAGGTGGACATCCACCCAAGGAGCTGGGGACCAAGCTGAGATTTGCAGTAAGCATGGGGGGATGGAAAGCTGGAGAGAAGACCGGAGGGAGGAGTGGAGAGGTTGAGGCTTCATTAGAAGGTGGTGTAGAGCCGCTTTCTCATTGCGGAGCATTTTATAACGTACTCTGCAGTGGTAACAAGTCAGTGACACCGTGACACACAAGGACCGAGCCCTGGGAGTTTTTATTTTATTTTTAACTAACCAGTATTCATGTGTAGAAATTATAAGTCTCAAAATTTAATACTTCCTTAAACGTTTATTTTCAATTCATAATTTTCTTTTTAAATCTTAAAAATTTTAGCACACATCGTGACAATGAGTTAAGGAGCTTGCGTCACACTCCCAGCCCCATGTGCCCCAAACCCAAGCTGTAGGCAGTCGTTGCCCTTTCTCCACCTCCACCACCAGCTCTAAGCACCACGAATCTGCTTTCTGTGTCTTTCGGATAGGCCTGTCCTGGACATGTGTGTAAACGGAATCACACTACATGTGTGCTTTTGTGTGTGTCTGCTCTGACGTAGCACGGTGTTGTTGAGGTTCCTGTGCATTGTAACGTGTGTCAGAACGTCATTCCTTTCGTGGCTGATCGCCATGGCACATGTAGACGCCTTTATCTGCTTATCTGCTGGATCACTGGGTCCTCGGGGAACCGTGTGCATCCTTTTCGAGGTGCTGCTCTGGGTCTCACACCAATTCTAAAGCTCCCTGTTGGGCCATCCTCTCCTGCCTAGGTCTCCCCTTCGTACCCTCTCAGTCTTGCCACCCTCGGGAACCTGTCGGCCTCCCCCTCATGACAGCGTGCTGAGGAGACAGCAGCTGCCTTGCTGAGGCCCATCCCAGAGCGCCTCCCCTGCTAGAGAGGGCTGGGGACTTCTGGGCTTCTCTGTCCAGCTGGGAAGACAGGCAGTGTCTAATTCTTCCTGTAGGCAGAAGACAGGGAGCCAAGGCAAAGGAGAAGCCAGGGCTCCAGTGACAGAGCTGTGGGCTCTCCTGCTGCCTGTGCCCTTCTCTCCAGCTCAGGCTCCTCCTGGTGTCAGTGAACCACCTAGTGACATCGCCACCTGGTGGCAGACGAGACCAGTGCCCATCCTGGCTGGCTGCCTAACCAGGTAGGCTCCCGCCTCCTTTCCAATTCTGCTATCTTTATACAGCAGGTGACCACTCAGAGCTCAGCAAACCACTGGCAGGGGAGGCATGGGGCCTGAGTAGTGGGCATTCATGGGTCACCTGCAGGCTCTGGTCAAGCCAGTGCGGCACATGTATGAGGCCAGCTACTCATGGCCCACACGTGGTCCATGCCTGAGGACCTTTCCCATCCGGGCAGGTCTCCTCGTCCTGCCCTGGAACATAAGTGGTTAGCACTGAGGGGAATCACCGCCCTGAAGAGCCCGGAGAGTGGCTGGCTTGTAGCATCCGTCATGTCCTGCTGGTCTGGGATGTGCAGGGCTTCAGCGGGCCTTGGGTCAGAGAGACAGGGAGAGACAGCAACCCTGCTTCCTGCATGGATAGGGATATAGGTAAAGGATATTCAAAATAGCCTTGTATATGAGGGGAAAATAAAGAAAAACAGGACTAATGACCCACAGTGAGCAGATCAGTGG